CGTGGGATGCCTGGGAATAGTTTACTCTGTAGTATGATTTTGGTTAGGGGCTCTATTAGGCGATGAACCGATTTTTGTCATATTTTGCGTAGAGATAACATTTCAATGATTATTTTTTACAATTATTGTACAAATATAATCGAATGGTCTTCGCCACGTTCTTTTTTGCCCATCCGGGTTGCATGATTTTATCAAAGCGTAACCTGGCAAGCACGTGGGCAGCTGTAGCCTCTTATGAGGTTTGCTTTCCATGCGACTACTATTGGTTTGTTAAGCCCAATGAAATCGTTGGTCAACAGACCCGCTGGTTTTTGTCGAGATAGGACTTGAACAGATTGCACGGCCTAGTGTATTTCGTCGTTAACAGCCGAGTGCCATGGATGTCATCATTCTTCATCGCGCTTGTATTCCAATTCATGGTCGCTGATAAATTTGGTTTGCACGTAGCTTCCGGCACTGACAGCGCAGCAAAACGTCTACTTAAAGCAATATTATTAAAGCAATTAAAGTGTTATTTTCTACCATGATCCTGGACTCGGATTGTAAATATTTTCCAATGACAAGTATAAAAACGATTTTTACCTTCGCAGGGCCTATTGGTTTTATTGTTTATAGTCATTGTACGATTATTCAGGCATTTTTTATTTACTTCGCTCAAAAGCAGCCGAATTTTAGGTTGCGAGGGAAAGCAGAAAGCGATTCGTCAGCTTATGTGTTAGTTTAAATATTTAGTAATTACGTAAAACTGAAATTAGTCGTTCGATGATAATTTGACTTGAAATGTTGCCTTTTTCCTTAGCATTTTTGGTAATTTATGCTCAGGTTGAAGGCTTTCTTTAGTACTACGGCACTGATACAGTTGTTTATTTTCCCGGCGTTTCCACAGACTGTCATTTCTTGTCCCAGATGTAAACATGTATGCCGTTATGTTTATTATATGTTACACTAAACGCCTACTGCGTGCTTTTGGCGTATCTTCACAGCGATGCCTTGTTGCAATAAGGCAATTATGTAGAGATGCGATTACTGAGGCATTAATGATTTACTCCATATGTGAATAACAATGTTATAAAGCGAAACGAACTGAGCTGGCATGTACTTTTACTGAGAAGACTCAAGTCTCCCCAGTTCGGTCGGTCTTCAAGCTGAAACCCTAGTGAACATCTGTGGAAGTCATCTAAGGTCTGACAAAGATCATTGAAGTTGAATGTGTCTCAGAAAGCAAAGTGTCTTGGAATACGGTCAGTAGCCATCAATTAGAAGTTTAAGTGCTTCGAATTTTACGTTTGATACTACCTTTAAGCTTTGCTTCAGACAGGTGGTCCCCTAAAGTGGCTTCGCGCTCGATTTTAAATATAAGGTTACGTGCATCTAGATTCAGTACGCAAGCACAGCACCACTTCGTTGTAACGGCTACAGACAAAGATAACCTAAACTCGCAAAGAGGTTATAATTTGTTGCCTACATTTACACGAGCATAATGGAAAGAATTATAACGAGTATCACTAATTTCTTTTGATTACGTTTACATATACACTGCAAGCAAAATTGAAAAAACGTTTCAAATTGTTAGCTAAGTGAATTTCGAGTCTCATGTAAATCAGGTGATATTGCTTGTTGCTCCAGGTGCTCTTGCAATGGTCCTACTAACCTGATGAAGGTATTTCACTACCTCGTTTCAATTTACCGAATTTGGTTCTCTTTACATCTAACCTTAAATAAACAAAAGCTCGACTGCAGAGCATCTTCAAAGTTGTTTGGTTAAGATTTTCCTGAGTCACTAACTGGCCTGAATGTAAAGGCCCAATGATTTGCGTACCGTTCGAACTCCTTGGTCCGTGTTTCAAGACGGGTCAAATTTAACTAATACTACCGACTGATGGCGGACCGCTTACCTATAGTAACATATACATCGCAAAACCAAATTGATTGTTAGAAAACACAGACCACATCTGTCACACGGCTAAATAGCTGACACCCAGCACATAACTGCGCATTACGTATGGGCTGTTTACCATAGCAGTATAGTATACAGATTCTGACCAAGAGCAATCAGTTGAACAGACAACCTGCACTCGAGGCATCACAAAACCAAATAGATCGTTGATAGACACACCACTCAGCGGCGCAGGTATCTGTTTTACTTAATATTGTTTCACGTACCGTTAAACTCCGCTTCAACAAGTTAGCAGACCTACACAGGCTTTTCACCTTAAAGAGAAGGCAAAGCTGTACTCGCCCTCTTTAACAAAGCACTTTTACGTCTTACCTTTTATTATATAAAACAATAAGAATTGGCAATATGCTTAATTCCACTCGCAAATATACGGAAATCTCTTCTGATTACTAATATGTTAAAATCTAGCGGGCTTCTCAGATATTTTTGGATACACGTAAAATGTAGACATAATTGCATTCATGTTGAGATCTTCTCCTTGCATTAACTGCATTATCGTCTGGCAGCTATCCAACTGCATAAATTCTACCTACTGAGTTAATCAATGTACTATTTTTATCCTCTTAGAAATTTTAACGGTTACCGAAAACAGGTAACAGCAAGTAAAAAAGTCAAACTTCCCTCAACTAATATTTTTCTTTATAGAAAAACAATCAAATGCAAGATACTTCAGTATGAAATAAAAATCACTTAATTTTAGATACACAGTGTCATTTTTCAAAATGCGTATTTTATAACGGTGTGAGATTTTTCTTTGTTTTTGAGATAAATGAATCTGACACTGTTCATTCGCATATAGTTATATCGCAGGTTTTCAACAGGCGAGTTGCAAAAGGTCACAGAAAGTCATACATTTTTTTTTCGACTAGTTTACGAATATGACTTCTATCATAAAACTATGGCGGTAAAAACGGCGTCAAGGATCCGTTAGTTTAAAAAATTCCTGAAAAAAAACTTCGAACACGAAGATCATTCTTATAAAAGGTCCTATGCAAGGGTGAATATACTGTATGCTGTTTTATTATTTTTGCTAGTGAATGTGTATATTATTACAGTAATATACTTGTAATAATAAAGTTAAAAAATTGGACAATTGGATGGCGCCTGATTTGAGCTAAGGTCAAAAATACACGTAAAGATACTTGTCTTTCTTCGCTTCTACCAGACAGGAGAAATTCAGTTAGTAAATGTAAATGATTGGTTTTGACTTCTGATCAAAATAGACTATCTACGATAATCACAAGCGGTTATATCAAAGGGCGGATGCAACTGAGCTGGTAAACGGTCACCCAAAAGCAAATATCCAGTTATAAATATACTGTAGTCGTCTGATGCAGGCGTTATTCCTCAATTCTGGTTCATGATCATGGCTGGTGCCAACATTGCCTCTGGACATCGTTTTTTTCACATTTGTTTATTATATTTGCCATTCATGGCGATTACAGTTTCGATTCCCGATCTAAACGACATTTTAAAAAAATTGCTCAATCCAGTTGATAGTTTATGTATAATATGCTTTATGCTTCCATATAATATTATTGGACACATCACAACGTTGGACGATTCTTTGTGATTTGATCTGATGAGGCCAAGTGCATCTTGCATTTATGATACCTGAACTTAAAAAATAGACGCATCATCGGGCAAGCCTTAAAAATCACGGTCTCAAACACGGCTTCATATCAGAATGAGAGAACGGCTCCTGTTTCCCGCCACGAGCCTATAGATTGTTGTTCATTACGAGGCTGCCCAGATAATAACAAGTTCACTGAATATCTTCAAATGTACACATTTACATGTTAGTTCCTTACATTCTGCTATGAGATTAATAAAAGGCCTAGCATCTGCGGTTACCCAATACCATCTTGATCTTAAGGATAAGAACCTGTAAATGTAAACATTAAAAGTTCTTACTTTCGTTATTCAAGTATTATAATCTAATGTGAATCCTATAAGTATGAAAATGAGTATGATAAGTGCCTAAGCATTGTTTAAGCAAAACGTAAAAAGCAGGCTTCAAACTCTTATACACTCGTACGTCACGCGACCTATCGTTGTTATACACGCTTGATGCCGTTACAATAACGAAGTATCCCATCGTATATAATGAATCATTGGTTTTTAAGCTTAATCAAATTATTCAGAAAACTTAAAAATCGAATGTGTTATCTGTGTTAGCATACAGCTACAAATCGTCTGATGTCTCTAGTGTTCTTGAAGTTAATTCCTTTTATCTGATTAGCTAGCTATCAAATTAGATCATTGTGTGGGTACATTACCTACCTGAGTATCCTGATGGCAGAAAAATTAACCCACTTTCAGAAATATCTAAATGCTTTCCTTAGCCTGAGGCATGGGCAGTATCCTGATGGCAGAAAAATTAACCCACTTTCAGAAATATCTAAATGCTTTCCTTAGCCTGAGGCATGGGCAGTCTAAATGCTTTCCTTAGCCTGAGGCATGGGCAGTTCTATGAATTTCATGCCCAGAACTCTGAATCTGTCGTAAGGTTCTTAGTTGTCTTTTCGTCGACACCACGAAGATAACGGGGTGAGATTACTAGATATTAAGTAGTTATGCAGAGTATATTTAATACAAAAATAAGCAGAAGACCTCTTAAATAATCTAAAACCGGTATAGTGCAGCAGCTCCGGCTACTGTGCCGGTAACAATTATTCCATGTTCTAGACTTCCATTCATAACTGGAAGGTTCTCTGATGGCTATACCCGCTATCATGGGCTCAAGTCGTTGAGGCTATGGCAACCATTGCCTACAAATCACCCAGTGGACAAAAATACCTTTTCTGCCACTACCCCGTCGCGATGAGAGTTTAAGCCTTACGCGCCCCAGAGCGTTCTCGGTGGAATAGTACACCGGTAGACTAGCAATCGAGTGAAGTTCCCTGTCTTCATATACGTATCTTCCTAGCTAACTATTCAATAGGAATAATTAGGTAGTGACGATACGCGATATAACCCACATGTAAGATAAATTGAGTAAAACTGCCTTCAGATTGTCTTGATTTACTTTTGTTTGGATTACCTGAATAATCCCTGGCAAGGCCATGATGACTCCAGCGGCGTAACTGGCTCGTCGTTGACGACAAGTCTTGCAGAGCGCCTTGGCAAGATCCATAACGTTTCGATAAGGCAAAGAAGCTCGTCGGGAGGCCTTGTGCGGAACGATAGAAGACTCCATGAACGCGCGAAATCCCGAGTATCCAGCGTAGCCCGGTTTCTCCGAATGACCTTGCCTGTCGTGGCGCTCGCGTTTATCATGCGGCTTATATTTGTCGTCTTTCTTGCGACTCATCGGGAAGAACGATATCTGTTCTTCTCCTATCAAAGCCGACTCTTGACACTTATAGCCACTACTTATTTCCTTAACTAAGCTTATAATAAACTTAGTAAAATAAGAGGGACTCTGCTTAGTCAAGCCTCTGGTTACCGTTTTCTGGCTTATTTTAGCTAAAAGTTCGCACCAACGTATCCAGGCGAAGGTTGCCAGTGAAGAATCCCATTCTGTGGGAAACCACGGTGCGTTTTTCAGTTGCTGGGTCGTACCCAACTGCGTTCACGGAAGAAACGTTTTCTGCCCAGGTACGAGATAAGGTGGAAATACGTCATTTGTCCTACGAGCACCACAAAAAAGTACATGCCTCTCTATGTGGTCCCGGTAGCCAGACGGATCTAACTGCAGGCAAACTTAGCGGCGAAATGAAGGTTTCTAATCGAGTTTGTGAGTGCTTGACTTTCTGTTTCTAGAACCGATCAGCTCTTTGCGGTTGTTAGGAAACGTAAACTGAAGATGACATGTAGAATATGCTGGTCAGCCAGATCGACTGACACTAAGTGTGAAGGCGAAAAGGGGAAGGAGAACGTTGTGTAGCTGATATAGGGACACTCTACCTGAATTTTCCGGCGGGAAATGGTGCCAATCGTTGTCGTTTTAGGAAGATACTCGCGCGCAATGGCTTGATGCACTTGAGCCTCTTGTAACCGGCGAGCTTTCACAGTGTCGCCTAATGCGTTGGTCAGCCAGGCTACTGCGTAACACTTGCCCGTTGCTGTTTCACTGGCACGGATACGCCAAATGAGCAAGTAGCACGTCGACAAGCCCTTGCTCGAATGAAAGCTATAAGCTGCCAACGGGTTTTGCCGCACACCGCACCTGGCTACCGCTCGCTCATACCCATTGTACCTATATTTAACGTCCGAGAGAGCACAAGGGAGCGGATGGGGAGAAGTAAGCCAGTAAGCAGCAGATAGCGAACCACCCCCGACACAATGAGATCCTTCCTCCAGACCCGGTTTGGCTTCGACTGAGCCCGCTGCCACAATCACCTGACTAGGCTTATACCTTTTCGGTGAGGGTGGCTTCAGCGTTTGGCAAGGTGGTTAGAAAGGGCAGCCGAGCTTCGACCATCTGCAAATAGAGACTTCACGCGAGTAGAAACAATATTTCTCTGCGTTGCTCCTAATTTGCGTTGCAGTCATGGGCGATCACCCCATTTGTATAATACATGGCACATAGATGGAAGCAGCGTTGTTTTTAAGCCATGACGTAAACACTTATTATTTACTAAGGACTCAGAATTTCTGCATTACCTTTTTTGTGTAAATGTTCGTGTCATTTGTGAATCACTGATAATGTACTTCTCCTGCTATTCGGTATTTCATAAGATACAATGATATAAATGCAGAAGCGGCAAACCCTCGCTCGGAGTACAACGGCAATTATACAGGATCCACAGGCTGCGTCTATGTGAATTCTTGACGTATAAACTCCATGGTCACGGTTAAAGGCGACAGGGGCGTCGATTATCACACACAAGTTCACATAGGTGGATGAACGGTAGTCTTAACTGGCACCAATTTTGCCTGCAGAGGGTTTTCGCAGACTCTCACCGAATCATTCACTGTAAACGTCACTTGCTGATCAAGTGCAGTGTCCAAAAGGCTTCATCTCTTTTGCGAATAAGAAGTAGACAAAAGATATTGGCGACATCTACAAAACTAAAAGAGCTCAAAAACGGAAGCCTGCTGTGCGCCTTTGATATCCCATTGCCACCTTATGGCCATGATGAACCGAAAAGGACCCATAGCAGCAGCTGTATTAAAGGCATTCACCTAACGTCACTTCACGACGAGCCAACCTTCCTTCGAACTTTGTCAGCTATACCGTGGCTGCTCGAAGGGAATCTGCAGACGATCTCATTTGTTTGTAAATTAGGAATGAGAGAAAGGGGAGAGAGAAAAACGATAAAAGTAACAAAATATAGGGGAGCCTTGGACTCCGGTATAACTTCGTTATGAAGCAGTCTGAGAGGGAACTTTCGTCACGGAGCTATCAGCCTGGCCAGAGTTCGCGTAAACGCAGAAACAAAGGGGAGCAAAGACCTTTAGCAGTGATGGCCTTTGGGAAACAGACAAGAAACGCACAGAAATCCGGCCAGACCGGCGGGAGGATGGAGAGAACCAAAGGACAAAAGGGGAGGGTGAAGCCTCCTGCGTACAACGTTGGCAAAAAAGACAGCCGCCACGGCAGCCCGCTCTCGCTCCTCATTTCACTTACCATCGCAGAGGTTACGAGCACGCTGTTCTCTGGGAATCCAACGGTCTATACGCCATTCAACTAAACTCTCCATAGAAATATAACGAAACAATAAACACAACCACAGTGACACACTTTTCGGCACTCCGGTAGATTGCTACCTACAGCCGAGGGCCATCGACAAAGCAAAGCGTTTGTCAAAGTGCTTCTACAGTATGTGAAGATTGGTTCATGAGCGATATTTAATGTAATGCAGTTATTCTCGGTTAAGATCATATTTTGTATACAAAATGCGTAGATCATGTGCTATGCCAGTAATTATCTATTATTTACTATATAATCAATATTAGACACATACATCGGGATCACCCTCAATAAAGGGGGAAGCTGGAAGTAGGTCAATTAGTTTTGTTAGTCTTATCATGTCTAAAAAGCCTTCCACTGAGTAATAGTAAAGTAATGGTAAAACAAATATGCGCTGCTTTACCTACTGTTCTCCTTTGTAAGTTTCTTTTTCTTTTGTCAATCTCGATTGGATGCGTTCAGGCAAATTCAATAATTCAAAGGAGTTACGAAGCTACAAACAAAAAACCTTACCGTCTTTTTTTTGAGAAAAAGTTGTTATATATTAGTGAATAGAAATAAGTTGAATGCTGTGACAGACATTAACAAACAGAACAATAACAGCAACATTCGACTGAAACGGATTTATACTGCATTCAAATCAGGCTGAGCCCTAATATTAGGAAATACCCATCAGAAGATGGGGCGTATAAGATGAACTGAATCAGACAACAAAGGACAACAACTTGTAATTCAAGTTGAATGAAGGTTGTATTTCGTGTAAGAGCTAAGATTGAAAATATTATAACTAAGCTCAAAAGTACTTTTTCCACTTTAATTATATATATTACTTTGTATTATGCCTACTCCTAACTTTTTCGGATTTGCTCATAATTATTCATTTATACCATATTTGTGCATAGAAGATGAACCGAATAATCCTAATCCCAAATGTTTGCTGTTATGAACATTTTCCCTTTCCAACATCCACTTTTGGGACTAACTGAACAGATACCCCTTGGTCTAGGACAGGCGCTGCATTTAAATTAGTTTGTCGAGCCGACAGAAAGACGCTGTACTTTTCGTTATAATCTTTTCATACAACGATCAAAGAGCTAATCGTAACCTAGATGCACTGAAGCTTTTGCCCAGGGACATCTATTTGGTGGAATGGTAATAAAGTCTACGCACGAATAGGCAAAACTGCCTACTTTAAAGCCTTCAAGAAGAAGGTTCGTCTATTACTGATCTCAAATATTACAAATCTTCAAGTATTTTTGTTTGTTTTACTGGACATGGAGTGTTAGACACGTCAGATTTTTACAGTTGAAATGGAGACCCACCATTTGTTTCTTTTACTTAGTTCAACTGTAGACAACTAATAGATAATCTAAATATCTTTTGGTATAACGGTTCTATTATCGCATTTAAAACCAAAATAATATTGAAATGCTTGCAATAGGCTCTTGTATGCCCTAATAGAGCTTAGTTTATGGATCTTACCGTACGGGCTCTGAAGACAGGTGAAGTGTGTTTTAGAATGAAGCAGTTTTTGCGTTCAATTTATAGCACAAACTGCTTGTCTAGATAGCCCTCAAACAAGTTTAAGTGGTCACACTACTAAATGAGTTACTAGTGTTAATCCCTTCTTGTGTAATGCTATGGTTATGCACTTCATCTTTATGCACACTGTATTTGGGAAGTCAAGTATTTACCGTTACTAGGGTTCAACAAAAGTGCCAGCAGTCAGCTACGTCCCTTGAAATGATTTTTCCTTTCCGTCGTCGCAGGCGCTCAATTAGGGGTTCGTTAGGACACCATCCATTTCCGTTTTCGATAGCCCTTTTCGTAGATCTTATTATTTGTATAATAACAATAACATCTATTAAATAACATAATCACAAGTGTTCGGACTAAAACTAGTGTTGCCTACATATAACTTGGATCTGAATGAAAACAGATGTTTGGGTGAAGTTTTTTTTAACTACTGGCAGGAAAATCTCTGGCGGACACGTCTGTCCATTGTGGTTGTCATTTACTCAAATCCTTTTTCTTAATCGGAGAAAAACACTCCTGTCTATAATTTCTTCACAATAGCGATACTAAGCAAATTGATGCTGTATTATATTAGATTGGCACTTAATCACGCATGCTTATACAAGGTATTCAGTTGTAGACTGTAATGTAATTATAAGACCTTTCTGCAGAATGTGCTCACGCACCTAGCGAACTTTGCATTCAGTTGCTCATACAAGCAGACGCACTATTTTGCTTCAGCACGCCAGTGCTATTAGACAACGTAGCAGTTCACGGTTTCCACCACAACTTTTAAAGTATCGATATATAAACATCTTTTTAAAAGAAATATGCCCGCACAATGTTTCCTTCAGTGGACACGACACTCAGCACGTTAATTTCGTATTACCCACTGTGGGTAAAATTTTTGCGTCGTCGACAATCCAGAGATCGATCCGAATATTGACTTTGAAATCCATGGCTAATATTTTACCCCAGATGTTGTCTTGACATTAGTGATAGGAAATCGCTGCGCAGGGTCTTCGTGAACAATTCGAGCAATTTTGTCCACAGCTAAGTTAAATTCAGCCACAAAGGCGAGCGCCAAAACAGCAGAATTACAAACATTGTACTCCCGCGCCTTGTCAATCAGTTATGAAGCCTTTACAAATGGTTTACTATCGTCTTCTTCCAATTTTTTTTTATATAGAAAAGTCTGTTTCTTCAGCAGCCGTGTGGGAGTTCATCAAAGTAAATAAATGGGACAATAGCTGATACTCCGCTTTACTTCGAAGATGAGCCATCTGCTTCGAGTTTTTGGTTTTTTTTTTCTAAAAAAAACTTCCGTCCCTCTACTTCAGGGAACACATTCCCGCCGTGGTCAACAGGCTGCCAAATCTGCCCCATATGTATAGGTTTGCTTATATATGTAAGTATAAATAATGCTTAAAATATACTTTTACTAGCGAGAGTAGATTCGCTAAAATGTATAAGTACAGTTTGTTTCACAAATTCTGTGCAAATGCCGTTTTTTGTCTCACCACACATCTGACGATGGTTACGCTCACAGAACTTGTATATATA